CGGCAATAATACCCACTTCTGTGTTCGTTCTTCTTTTTCTTACTTCGTGTTCCTAATACGATTATTTTAAATCCATTATCCAAATCTCGAAATATGCTCATTATACAAAATATTTTAGTATTTTTCTTTCCTTGGCACTACAGCCCCAGTGGGCCTAGGCCTACCTCCATGAACTTCTCCGTTCACTTCGGTTTTTCTACATCTTACACATTCGGTATGACACCTTGGGGGGTGATCAGCTCGTCGCAATGCCTCTAGCTGTACACAAACACAGAAAAACGCACACACACAAACTAAAAATACATGCCCTGAGTGGGATTCGAACCCGGTTTCCAAGCGAGCGAAGATTAAGAACATTGTTCTACAGGCAATGCTCTAGGCTTACATTATATGGACGCTTAATTCGAATCCCGGCCTGGACACTGACAATCCTGAGTTCTTTTCTTCCTCAATCTCTCTGAGCAAATGCTGGGATAGTACTTCTATTAGGTCATCGCTTCTTTCCAAATTCCTTTCAATTCATCAGTCATCCTACCATCCGACGATATAAAGACTAAATACTGATAGTCGCTAAATAACCAACAAAGTAGTATATCCTGTATATAAACTGACAAAGCGTAAAGCGGACCTGCAACAGTGGCAAGAGAATCAGATGTTCGGAAGGGAGCAACGAAAAACACAGGCACAGTCCTCTTGTATGACAGTCTAGGCTGAGAAGCGCGTTACTTACAAAGCTGAGCAATACGGTTTAAATTTGAGATTTTTCTGGATAGAGGAACTGTAACATTTCTTGCAAATCCGCTTTACAAACTTTGATAACACTATAAAATACACGCCTAGTTCGGGCCCGAAGATGGCATGCTTCACCAACGAGACGATGCTGTACAAGCCGTGAAGTGACTGTACGTAGGTGTAAACATGGCGTAATGCTTGATAATTCTGTAAATCTCATCATCAGGGCACTTCGCTTTACCAGCTCATTACTTACTTACTCATGGAGCTCAGCCCTTCTGAAGGAGCCGCCAATTCTGCAGCTACTCAAGAATTTCCCAGCATTTTATGGAACCCGAAGGTTCATTACCGTGTTCACAAAAGCCCTCCACTGGTCCCTATCCTGAGCCAGATCTATCCTATCCATACCATCCCATCCTATCTCTCTAAGATCCATTCTAATATTGTCCACCCACCCACGCCTTGGTCTTCCCTGTGGTCTCTTTCCTTCTGGCTATCCCACCACTATCCTATACGCATTCCTCGTCTCCCCCATTCGTGCTACANTTTACCAGCTCATACTCGTACTTAACTACATGTGAAGGGAATGTCGGAGATCTCTATCTAGGGGCAACAAATCGACCCATGTGACCTCAGCATTGCTAACTGCTGTCAAAAACAAGTTCGTATCTGCAGTAGATAGCGAAAACACGAAAGATGAATGCATATTCGCACAACGAATTTAGGTACAGTCCCTTTGCATTGTATTGTCGCGTATTTAGTGACTAGGCACGGAGTTTGGATTGGTAATTGGATTTACTGACCACTTATAAATCGTAACTACAAGTAATTATAATGCTCTTGCTAACTCATGCACCCGACTCCTCACTACAGCACACACTGTCTTCTAACTCAAACTGTGCAAAGTACAATTTTATAAAGCTAAGAAATTGAAATTAAATCATTAAAACCGAGATCATCTTCCCATCTCAGTCGATGCTACAGATGAAATATGCCGTTTAAAACAACATAAGATCTTCAGTCAGTAGCGAACATTCCTAAATGAATGAGCTCTTGGGCACGTTCCCCGGCGTTGCTTTGGTTTAGGGACTTTTACCTTCGGCTAGGCCTATTCAGTTAAAATTGTTTTATGCATATATCCTCGGGACGTTTCGGTTATAAATTAAATAAAAAGCTGCAATACTAATTCAAAACAGCCAAGGCGTCGTCAAAGGAACGCAGAAAGATACTATTGAAGAAACTGAGGTAATAAAAATAATGCAACATTTGTAATCAAACGGAGCCCCAGTTTGATCCTTTTGAATCGTCAGACAGACAGATGTAGTTGTGTTTTTAAGACTAAATATGTGAGACAATTTCTTCAAAAAAGTTCCATTAACTGACACCAAATTTACTAATAAAGGATTTAATAATTACTCCGCAAATAACTCCAAAGACCAGAAGCAGACTGTCGCACAGCTGATAGAGAAATCGCCCTCCTCAGTGGGAGCCGAAGGTTCACTAGTGTTCACAAGAACCTGAAACTGGACTCTATCCTGTCAGTCAACTTCACCCCGTAGAGACAAAATATTTCGGGATATTGTACCGCCAACTAATGTTATTTATTTCGTTCCTACGTCTGGGTGCAGGGCCAGAACATTCCCCGGCTCATACAGACTGGCGTCACATGTCGGCAGATAATACGGACTTACCTCCTGACCTCAAGGATAAAGACTTCGTTATGGCACAGCTGCAGGAAACAAATTGGATCGTTGCGAATCTAACCACACCGGCTAATTTCTTCCATGTCCTTCAGCGACAGATTGCGTTGCCCTTCAAGAAACGCCTAATTCTTTTCATGATGAAATTTCTGCTTCGACATCCGGAAGAAATCCCCTCGACATTAGACTTAACGGAAGGTACAAGGCAATTTTGTTGTATAAATTGCTTTAAACTCAGGAAGTCCTTGTTATTCTTATCCACTTCAGAACTGTTACCATCCCAAAGAAAATGCTAAAGTATAGGGTAAGCATAAATGATATTTACAATTTCGGAAATGTATTGCGAAACAGTCAGGCAATGTAACATATCCGAACTCTCGGACATTAGTTATTATAGGTATAATTCCTGTATAAACTGAACAAATTTATACTGTTTTTTTCTCCTTTCTTTTTATTATTGCTAGTGGGGTGGGACTAAGTCCCTTACACTGCGGCGACTGCTGGCCTATTGTACCAGCCCCAGATGATAGGTGAGGGTGATTGTGGAGCAATTGGTGCAATGAGGATTGGCAGGGGAAACCGAGGTACTCGGAGAAAACCTGCCCCAGCGCCACTTTGTCCAGAACAAATCCCACACAGCCCGGGATCAAACCCGGGACGCCGCGGTGGGAAGCCAGCGACTAACCGCTTGAACTATGGCGAGGCCCTTTTTTTACCTTACAACATATTTTGGTCATTTATGGCCATCATCAAGTAAATCAGTTTACATTCACACTCTACAGTGTTTACACTTTGGGGGAAATGTCATATGCGTTATTTACAGTATTAATGCCAGCAATAGTTCGTATGCATATTTAAAATATATTATGTTAAAATTTATCTTAATTTTAATTAGATTAAAATAAAATGAAATTATTATTAAATTACGATTAATTATTATTACTATTGCTACTATTAACTAAAGTGTCCCTTGCAGTTTTTTTAATGTTGACTTTGGACACGTATAAGTGATCCGTTTTCATATCAATATTGTGGCATGATGACCAGTTGCTAAGCAACGACTGCGAAGTAAGCAGCAATACAATAGTCGTTGCTACGTAACAGCTTCGCAAACGAGCATGCTTCCATGGCAACAAGAAAGTATGGCAATAATGGAAGCGGTGTATTCTACGAGGTCCGTGTCGAGATGCTATAAGCAGAGCCAGTTAGCTATTGGATTCAGAGTGAGTTGCGTTAGAGCGGAGAAAGTGAGGGGACTCAGGAGAGGAGTTGACACAGTAGAGTCAGGCAGTAAGTCAGCTACATCAGGTCTTCATTAGAGTTAGTGACCTGAACGAAACGTATGTTCGACAAAGTCGTTTTACGGACTTCACTTCACGTAGTGTGTTCACGGCCAACTCCCGATGGGCGAAGGTGGTGTCGGTCAAGTTTGCCGCCCACCCGCGGGGTGCTTAGTGCTTGAGCGTGCACCAAGATGGCGGACGTCCCACTAATGGGATTCCGGAAATACTGGACATAGACTGGACATCGCTGAAATCTGAATGCCATGTCATCATGAATACTCGTAAATACCCAGAAGCAGCTTCTGTAGTGCAACAAAAACACAGAGTGCTCAGTAACACTGAGAACCTTGCCGGATGCACACCGGCTGAAGTGGGGGAAGTTCTGAGTGGAACTCTATTGTGAATAGTGCGGGGGAGAACGTAAAAGTCTAGATGGGAAGCCGCTTCTTAGCGCTCTTTGCGGAATTTACACGGTAACAATGACACACCCTAGCATCCACAGTCACGTCTTCACTAGCCGTTGCTCGGTAGCGGCTTCCTTCCACTAGTGGACGTTCCCCTTTTCTATGGGTTCCATCACTATCCCTGCCCTCAGCTACCAGCTTCTAAGGGTAAAAGTTCCAACGACTGTACCACAGCAGTCAACTAGCTAACTAACAAATGAATGTATAAGGGGTGGGCCTTCTCGGCCCTTGCACCGCGACCTACAGTGATCTATTGTGCTTCACTAACTTACTAACTGTCCTGCTTTTAACATCTCGACACGGACCGCGTAGAAAACACCGTTCCACTACTGCAGTACAATTCTTGCAATTCCTGGCGTTACCAGATTTTCTGAGAAGCAGTGGGTCTGGAACGGGGTCCACTCAGCCTCGTGAGGATAATTGAGGAGCTATTTCAAGGAAATAGCTGCTTCTGTCTAGAAAATCGAAATTATCGGTCGTGGGAATTCGTTGAGCTGACCATGCGACACCCTCTATCAGCTAAAGTTGGCATTACCTTCGCCAACAAGCGGCGGTCGCTCGGTCGGTATAGTTCGCTTGCGGACTAAAGCCACTATGCTAAAGAAACTCAATAACAAATTGAATCAATACTCGTTTAATATACCGGGATATGCAACACGCGGAGTGGGGGCAGCAAGCAGATATGTGGGGCATCATAGTAGGCACATCACGCTTTTCATACAAAAGTATGTACATTTAGTATGACACAGCACACTGGTAAAAGTGGTACGAATTTCATAATTCTAGTTTCGTTCATTAGTCAGAGAAGAAAATTAATTTACCTTATAACGTGCGTACGAACGAGGCAAATTGCTGTTCTCCTTCTTCATGTGTACAGACAGATGCACGGCTTATAATAACAACTCAAGAAACAATGCATTCTCCACACAAACGCTTTGCTAAATCAAAGTTGCAATCTTCATGAACCCACTGCCAGAATACAGCCACAGCGTAACTTTGGGTTCTCTCCGCGGTTATTTGTGAATATACTCAAATTATTTGTGTTTTTATATAATAGCATTCATCAAATCTTCAGTGGAGGTTATTTCTCCTCGTGAGATTAAAGTGATACATATTACGTCATCTAACGACATATTCCGCGCACTGGAGAAATGACATCAAAGGTATGTATGTAATCTCATATACAGTGGAAGATAATTCACCTATTCACCTTATCTAATGCATTTCGTTCACTGGCTCTACAGCCCTCTTGGGCCCTGGCCTCTGATTTTTTGTTTCATGGTCATTTTACAGACGGTAGGATTCCTTGGACGAGTGATCAGCTCGTCGCAAGGCATCTACCTAAACACAGAATGAACACATACACATACCAAACATTCATGCCTTGTGTGGGATTCGAACCCACGATCCCGGCTTCTGAGCGAGAGAAGAGAGTTCATGCATTAGACAGCTTGTCTACCGTGACTGGCTATCCAATGCGTTACCTGTATTGATTGTATAAAGTATGCCCTTGCATTAATTTCAACGCAACTACTATTCCCAAGACAGGGTTATATCTGCATCAATAACTTTAAAAAACACATTTACGCGAGTAGTTATATAGAAACAACAAATTACACGTGTCATTTTTACAGTAAGTTTTACGACAGAAAATCATATCTTCTTGGAAGTATATACAGGACATCTTTCCATTTCCCGTTTAGAGATACACAACACAACATAATTCGTCCACTGCTGAATGGTCGTTTTTACACATTCAAAATCAATCACAGAATATCCAGTTCCTTTAAGAGAAAATATTTTTATATCGGAATTTCAATATACTACAGTCACTCAATGGCGCTTCCACACTGCCTTCATGTAAGCATTCGCCAGTACGTTCAACAAGAACAAGCAGTGCTTTACAACTGTGTGGATGAGTCAAACTGCACTCTTTCCATATTTCACACGTACGTATGAAAAGCAATATGCCTTCTGCTATTCCGTCGTTTAGGGTCTAATGATTCATGGGTGTATGGAACTGCGAGCAAAGTTAATTTATTTGGTCAGAAGCAGTAAAATGGGATTCATGTGGCATACAACGGAAATATCTTAATGACCAACAGATATTAAATCCTACTTACGAATAGTAGATCAGCCTTTATTTCCAAAACGGAAACAACTGCTCACTAACTTGCTCCACAATTTGTATTCTTCACCTAACAATATTCACCTTCATCTGTGGCTCTACAGCCCTTTGTTGGGCCTTAGCCGCTTTTTCAGTTTCCTAATCTTTTACACAGTCGGTAGGGCTCCTTGGACGGGGGACCAGCCTGTCGCGAGGCAGCTACATACACACAGAATAACACAAACACATAAGAAACGCAGACAGACATCCATGCCTTAAGTAGGATTCGAACCCACGATTCCATTGTTTGAGCAGGCGAAGACAGTTAATTCCTTTTCTTTTAATGCTATTGGGGTGGGACTAAGTCCCTTGTACTGCGGCCACTTCTGGCCTAAATAAATATCTCAGAATACCACGTCCCGGTCGAGATCCTAACCGAGCACGTCCCGAATATGAGTCTACAGCGTTACCGCTACACTAAACTGGTCCAGTTCATGCCTTAGACGGCGCGGCCACTGTGATCGGAGCCTAACAATATTAGGGAAATCATATCAGGGAACAAATATGGACAAACAGGATTTAATGGGAAGAACTGAAGGGAAACCAAGGACCAACTGAAATGACAGCTCTTAAAAAAAAAGAAGTATTACAATATTTGTCTGGATTCATGTGGCCCAGAGACGGGATCTTGCTAGCACGGTAGTGACCTTGGAATTCCATTAAAGATGGAGAGTTTACTCGTATTAACACGGTTAGCTTCTCAATGCTTTTACTCATTGGACTTAGTCAGAATTACTGGTGGGACCCAAGAGAGTAGGTGTCCCCCCCTCTCACCTGATAACAGAAACAGATCCAGTTTTCGAAACGTTGTGTTCTCTAGTTTCTAGAATACTGGACGATGGAGAAAGTCCGAAAATCCAGTAATTCTGAGTGTTATACACTATCATCAGAACAATGTAGAATCTACTGGCTGGTTAGTGAGTCAGTCAGACATTCACAAATGGCGAACTATCTATTGCCCTGCTTACGTGTACAGTGTCTCTTAGTTCGAGTTGGAGTTCATTCGGGAGTTGCCTCACTATGAAGGGCACAGTGTACATCTGACAAGTCCGCTGGGCAGAAAGAATTATAAACTACATACCAACATCCCTACTTAATTACCTATTGCGATTTGATCAATTATTATAAGTATTTTAGTCAGGTAAGTTCGAAAAAGTATTTATGCTCTTCTGTAAAATTATATACTAATTATAAATGCAGGATGTGTCCTTTAACTACTATCTAGAATAAGACACTTCGGTAATCTTCGCTTATTTAAGGAGGGTCATGTTTATTACTGTATATTATACAAGTTATGACAACTGTGCAAAGCGTAGAAATTCTTTTTTTGTTATCTAGAAACACTTATCCCGAAAGACACTGGACAGAAAACGTGTGCTTCATTCTTCTCCACACCGTTCCTTTATAAATATCTGTCACTTCGATATATTCTTAAAACGCACGCAGAGTTTCATGAGAAGTGGTTACTATTTTCACTGTATTTTGACCAAAACTGCAGTGTGTTAACAAATTTTAGTAAGAGCCCTCAATGTCAAATTTTATGAAAATATGGTCCGCTGTTCTCGATATATTAGATGAGGGCAAAAGTTGTACAGACTCGTTAGGTTATTTGTCCTCTACCAAACTCAAATATTCAACACTCACAAACGATCTTCCGAACACGTGCGACAATTGCCTAACTCTCTTACTGTGGACTAAAGGCTGAATGTCAAAAGCCTTTCAGTTATTGGGGGCGGTAATAGATCCGTAATATGTCTGACTAACATTTGGGGGCTATCTGGTTGGACAAGAGAGACCACGCTGCTATTTTTAGTGATTATCTCAAGACCTTCGACGGAAGTGGAAATATACCTTATAAAGAGGTCAAGATTGGTTCCTTCGTACTTTTCTCGAGCTCATTACAAAACAGAAATAAGCCAACATATATTAATTTTGCGAAAATAATATTCACATTTACTTCCGTATATCCAGATTTTGAGAATAGACTCAATAACTATCTTCGAAAGCAGATAGAAGAACCTCGTCACAACCGAACAGAGATGGTGCGAGAGATAAGATACTGCAGATATGTCCAGCATGTTCGCAGAAAAGTATGTACCTGAAATATTTCTCTTACTTTTGCAATAAAATGGCATGTAGTCCTAAAAGTGATAATAGATCACATGGACATGAGGTCCATACGAAATATTGAATGAATGTATAAGGGGTGGGCCTTCTTGGCCCTTACAGCGCGACCGCAGTGATCTATTGTGCCAGTAATATTACCCCAGTACATTCTGGACAGCCGTCACTGCTCCACCAAAATCACCCGCCATATGATCCTGCAAACAGCAACTTCTCAATAATTCCCGCATTATAGCCAGGAATTCGTCAACAACTCGGCCATCTCTGACTCTCTTTCCTTCCGATTTATGTCCATATAATGTTCTTATAATGCGGAAAATTTCCATCATTTGTAAATGGTCCAACTATCTTATTGAGAGTCCCTTACTTCTGTATTACTAGAAACTCTTTACACTTCTATCTTAGGCCCATATTTGCAGTATGCTTGTGATCAAATAGTCAGTACCCAGCCACTGCTCTCAGAATAACGCATATCCGCATATCCTAGTCTATATTTTCCTATTTGTCCAAGCCCAACACAGTATAAACTATGCTTCGCATTTACGAACACATGACTGTTATTTGAAGNCTGTTATTTGTCCGTATTAATGTCTAGGAAAAATTATTGTTTTAATAACTGAAGCGTATGGACATTTATTTTGCATATTAGAGTATTAGCAAAAAGTAAAGTATTTAGAACCATCCCAGATTCAATAAAAATCCTTAGATCGTCATGCACGTGTACCCGTGCTGTGTATGTTAGTGTCTGTTATACATACACACACACTGCACAGAAGTTTGCATGCTTATACACTAACTGATAGTGAGAAATGTAAATATATCCCTTTAAATATGTTTGATTTGTGTGTGTGCGTGGGTGCACGCGAGTGTGTATGTCCAAACAACACACACAGAACAAATCTAATGTTCGTATAGTTCTTGGAAATATAAGATGTGCTATAGTACTTCGGATAACTGTTTAAAAATAAACAGAAAAATATGTTTAATACTGGAAATTTTTCTTATGCAATACTGACTGCAGGTCATTCCTTTAAAATAAAGAAAGCAGAGAGAACATCACAAAATCCGTTTGAAAAATGAAACACTCCACACTAATCCAGCGAAACACGCTGTTCACATTTAACACGGCATTACGTGTCCTTTGCACGATGTGCGAAAAGTGGACTGTTCGTGTCTATCCGTGCGGCCGCATGTTTCAACTCTAGAACAGCTGGACGAATTTTGTTGAAATTTGGTATGGGCATTGTGCCATTGGATGTTATCCCAAATCCCAGGTAGTTAATGCCCTACCAACATTACGCACTCATGAACATGTGAGATGGAAGTGACATTGGCGGCACTTAATACACAGTGAGAGTCAAAAGTCACTGTGTACCTACACTACAGATGATAAACCCGCCTCATTCTTAGTATTAATATTTGTAAACTGGCAGAGCAAACAAGCATCTCCTGTGGCAGCACGTGCAAAACTTTGAAGAAGCATTTCCACCTGCATCCCTACAAGATAACATCAGTGCATGAATTGAAAGAAGGGGACAACATCAAGGGTGCTGAATATTGCCTATGGTTTAGGGACCTAATTACTGCCAATGGAGGAAATAACCTGGACGTTCACATATCTTATTGATGAGGCGTGGTTTCATTTATCCGATTACGTCAATAATCAAAACAGGCACGTCTGACCAGCGACTAATCAGTATTAGATGAAGGATACATCAGAAGGTCGGTGTGTGGTGTGCCTTATCACGAAATCAGATAATCGGCTCAATATTCCTCGACTACACTATCAGCTCAGAACGTTATTGTGATGCGATTGTATTTACCCCTTCACTAA